AGTTTCGATATCCGAACCTCACAGGTTTTCCCATAATGAACTGTTTTGCCAGTTTTTTCATATTTCAGTTTTCGGCTTGCGAATTATCACCGAAGTGGAGGTTTCTTTTTATGTCTAAAAACCTATTACGAGACATACAATTTGCTATTAGTGGAACGCCCAAGTCTTCGTCTAAACTCCAGTAAGCACGCTCGGTAGGCAATTCATGATATCCACTTAGAATCAGTATACCCAAAAACTTTTTTAAATCTGCGGCATCAATGTTAAAATTGTGCCTATTGTTTTGCGCTGCATAAAGAGCACTATTTTCCGTTATAAGATCCATGACATCATCGTTGCAAATTTTTTCAAACAAATTTATGGCGTTGTGGTCCTTCAGAGAATCTAATACATTTTTTCCCCTCAAAAGAATAGTGTCAGTCACGCTGTGTGATTTACTGTACGTGGGTGATATTTTTTTCCAAACGGGTTCCCCTGAATTATTAACTTTTGCTCGTTTTGCAGCAGGCTTAAAATTCAAAATTGGCTCGTCATCACTGTCATCCCAATCTGACACGTCATAATTTGGACGTCGTGGAATTACCTCGATAGTACCTGGCACATCGTTTGGAAGGGTTGTAGAAACCAAATTGTCATAATTTGCCTCCTCTTCATCACTCACGACAGCGGGTGCCGGAGGTGTTAATAGTATATCATACTCCACATCATCGGTTTCTTCCGCCATTATTGATTCAAGAGCTTTCTGAAGTCCCGAATAATTGTTTTTGCTCGTAAATGACCGTCTGGTTGATATTGTAGAAATCTTTGAGCTCTTCTAGGATATCGACAATTACAATACGGAAACGGTCGTTGTACACGCTTGTGTACAGTACGACAAAAACTCACCTTTCGCACAGTTAAAGAAAATTAATATGTGACTATTATAATTTTTAATTAAAATAAAGTCGCAAGAAACGCTGAAATAAAAAATATCTTGAAAATACCTAATATATACAATGAAATTGAGAAAACGGTGTTACCTGAAAAGCGTGGTGTACACATTTAGACATTATGCAAAGCCTATTAATATGATTGCAAACAACTAGCACTTTTCTAAATTATCGAAGACAAAAACCGAGAAAACGCCCAATAAATAGGTGTACACAAGCGTGTACAGTGGGCGGTAATGGGTTAAGATATATATATATATATAGCTTTTTTAAAAACGAAGTAAATTAGTACAAATTGTTAGTAATTTTCATTAGAGTTTGAATAACTCCTTTCACTAAATAGCTTTTAGTAACTTTAACGAGACCTTAACTTATTTTATTGTATTAATTTTAGTGCAGTTTTGACAAAATTTTCTTGCTAAAAACTTTTGTTTCACTACTTTATTTTATTCCTTTGATTGTACATGTTAAATA